GAATCAGCTTGCTTTCAAAGCGCTATTTACAGCGTGCTTCTGTCTCCGCGCTGTTGTCGCCCTGTTGATGACGTCAGCTACGCGGTTTCGTCGAGCGCGGTTTAGTCGAACGCGGTTTTGTGGTGGAACCGTTGTTATTACTTAGCTTGGTAGTGAAAAGTCTACAAGAAAGCTTAGAGAGCACTAAGGACCCCACACTCCTCCTCCTCCTCTTCCCATCTTTGTCTTTACTTCACAAATCCCACCCCCTTCTGGTGATGTTACCTAGTTTGGTAATGAAACATCTGCAGGAAAACAACCAAGCTTAACAGCACCAAGGACCCCATAGTGTAAGTCTACTTTGCACCAAAGCATTTGGGTTCCGTTTTTGCCCTTTATCTTTTTCCAACATTTTTTCCATAACATATCCCAGTAAAAAGGTGATTTGGTGGTTTGACTAATCATGAATACATCAACCTAAAACAAATATGGACAATTCACAGCAAGAATGTTTGGAAACCTTGCTGAGGTTTTTTCCCCCCCCCTTGACTGTTTGGTATTTCTTTCTTCTTTGATTACTTATCTTTTCTTTTTCTTCACAGCCGGAAAGAAAAAGCCGTTTGGGACCTGGAGAACGCCACAGAACTTGCTCGGAGTATAGCTTTGGGTCAACCCATTCCAGTCCCAAGTAAGTACTTCAACTTAAAACCACAATTAAGCCCCAAATGTCTGTTGTTAAGCAAGGCAGTTTTTTAAAACCAGTTTGGCCTCATTTTGTGCACTTTATTTTTGCCACCGCTGCTAAGTGAATCACTGCGGTTGTTAAATGAACCATTCAGTCGTTAAGCGAATCTTGCTTCCATTGATTTTACTTGTCGGAAGCCGACTGGGAAGTTTACAAATGAGAATTACATGAGCCCGGGACAGTACAAGCCAGTTGCCAAACATCCAAATGTTGATCACATAACCATGTTGATACTGCAACAATTATAAGTGTGAAAAACAGTCATCCGTCCCTTTTTTCAGTGCCGTTGTAACTTCGAATGGTCACTAAATGAATGGTTTTAAGTTGAGGACTACCTGTAGAACAAAATTGCATAGCAGTGAAAATAGCACAGGTAGGGTTGATTAGCAACCATTTGAAGTTATGATTGAACCCCCCACCTTCCAAAAATGGTATTTACCACCCAGTTCTGAAGTTTTGATGCCACCCCTTCCTCTTGGTAGTCACATGACCAAATGGTTTAAGGTTTAAGGTTTATTGACATTTGTATGCCGCCCACTCCCTAGGGACTCTGGGCGGCTTAACAGGCAAAACAAGGGACACATAAAAGTTAAAATAAGAATACAAATTATTTAAAAATTTCACATCATGCATACTGCTTAGAGTGGGGCTGGATACTCATCAACAGCCCCAGGCCTGCCAGAACAGCCAGGTCTTAACAGCTTTACGGAAGACCGGAAGAGTAGTGAGGGTCCGGATCTCTACGGGGAGATTGTTCCATAGGGCCGGAGCACCAACAGAGAAGGCCCTCCCCCGGGGATTCGCCAACCGACATTGACTGGCCGATGGCACCCGGAGGAGGCCCAATCTGTGCGATCTTATCGGTCTTTGGGAGGTAAATGGCAGGAGGCGGTCTCCCAGGTAGAAAAGGTAAGGAATCCCATTTCTCGTGTGGCTTTTGGT